TATATATATATATATATATATATATATATGTATATATATATGTATATATATTGTGAAGTAAAAGAAAGAGTAACTACTAAGTGGTAGTGAAGCCTTAATGGTTTAAATTCAAAAGAAACCACAATTCATAACTTGGTGGGCCCCTAAGGGTTTTAAGGATTATTTTCTTGAACAAATCATAATGAGTTTGAATTTTCTTCAAAATATCCAAAAGATCACAAAAGTGTACTTAAACAACTTTTAAGAATCCTTTGGACCATCTCGAGTTCATTTGAACTTATTATGTTTTTGAATAAATCATCTTGAGGTTTGTTATGTTTAAATTGTGCTTAGTTCACTGTCTCAATTAACCCATAAGAAATGGGACAAGCAAGTTTGAGCTTGTAGTATTTTAGGGAGACTAATTATGGTTCCATTTTGAACTAACCCTCAAGTATATTTAGATTGAACTTAGCTCACTACAAGCTCAAAAGACACCAGGGGTAGATGTGTAATTTTGAAGAAAGGGGTCAAATTAATAATATTTATTTAAAGATTAGCTTATGATTCAACCATTGGTTTAGGGATTCTAGATTGGTGTGTTATTGACTTCCTAACTTATGTCCCAAACATTTAAATCCTTCAAATCAATTTCATCTTTCAATGTTCAACAATTGGGGAATTAAACTTATACCCTTATTCTTTTAAAGTGGGGTTAATTGGTTCCTACCTCTTACCCTCATGTCTCAATCACTTTAGGATGTTACTTAGGCTCAAAATATTTCCCTTTTATTTTTAACCCATCCTAAATTTGAATTAAGGGGTGAAAAGGTGGAAATTACAATTTTGCCCCTAAGGCTCCTATCTTCATAAATTTTTTAAGACAATTCACATGGACTTGGGAAATTTTTAACCTATCTCTCATGGCTTAATTGAGATACCAGAGAAGGATTCATGTTTTCCAACCATTATTTTAATTTATATAATTATTTTAATATAAAAATAGGAATTTCCAAAGTTAATTCAGTTAATCAATCAAAGTAAAGTTTCTATTCATTGAGAAATTTATGGGAGGTTTACCTAGGTCAGAGGAACACTCACAACAAATTTCATGAATTTTTTTAATTATATTTTAATTTCCATAATTTTTTGTTTGTTTTAAGGATTAATTAAGTAGAAAATACATTTTATTTTGACAAATCAATTTTATATTTTTCCTTGATCTCTCTGACTTTAAGGAACTCAGAGAAATTTATTTTGTTTTTTTTATATTTAATTTATTTTTTACAATTATTTTAGTAAAAATTTAGGAAAATACATTTTTTGGCATTTAAAAATACTTTTTTTCTTTAGAAAAATAGGAAAATATTCTAATTGTTCCCAAGTGGTTAGGGAACACTTAAGGACATTTTGGTATATTTTTGTATTTTAGTGATTTTTTTATTTCTTAATTATTTTTAAATTCAAAAATAACCCAAAAATGAACTATTTATTTTAATGTCAATTTTATTTTTCATGGGTGCCCCTAATAAAAAGGAACTCCCAAAACCACTTTTAAAAAAATTTTGAGTTATATTTTAATTACCATAAATATTTTAATACCAAAATTTTATTTTCCTTGAAAAATAGACTTTAGTGGTTAAGTTAATTTAAAATGGTTTCCAAATTTTAAAGAGGGTTAATATGTTCAATATCTCCAATATGGATTAATTTTTATAATTTTTAAAACTATATTTTATATATTTTAATTCTATGGTTGTTAATAACTTAAATTAAGAAATTAAATTACAAAAACATTTAAACTTAGATTTTATTTATTTATGTTTCTCTGATCACA